GTAACACTACTCAAGACTGGTTTAGACTGGTTTGATAATGCATATTATAAATTGGACCTGGATAGCCCGTTGATCCTTATCTCGTATTGTAACTTTTTTTTTCGTTGATGACGCTTCTCTGTACTAAAACATTACGTTGAGTCGGACATTTAAAGTGTGATTTCACAAGGTATCACTGAATAGAAAACCAAACCAACACACCAAGACACATAATTTTTTAAGTTCGAGCTTACCTTTTTTTCTTAATTCTACGTGCGACCATATACTGGTAGGAGCAGCAAATCCAAGTTTTCAAATCTTTGATTTGACACAGTCTGGGATGAAAAAAAAAAAAAAAAAAAACTTCAGCACTCGAGTCGAACACGAGACTACTTCACTTTCGATGTGGTTTGTGTCGTTTGAATACTAAAAACTTAAAATGTTCTTGTTAGGAGGAAAGTGAAATACTAGTAAGATTCAATTTAACAATTCTTTTCATTATAACTTCATGACACATTTGTCCATGCAATAGCATTTTATGTCATCTTAAACACTTTATGGCCTTCAGTGTCATGCATTATACTGGTTAGATATTAAAGAAGGCATTAATTAATTGTTTTTAAACTCATGTACAAGCATAAATTATATAACTATCATCTTGACTTTGAAAGCCGTTTGAAATGTTTAACCATCATTGACCATTGTAAGATAAATTGCATCGACTTTGTTCAATTTCATTGATTCGCCTGAATAAAATAAAAACGCAAGACTATATATTCTATTTGCGACCGCGTCGGCGAAGGCGTCATCACTTGTGTAAAGTTTGTGATTTGGTAAAGTAAAGTGGAACCACGGATGGCATGCATGCTGCATCAATGATATTTGGTATGCAGCTGTATAAGCACTTCATTTCCATGGAGATTATTTGACCCCGCACCTAAGTCATGGTCTATTGACTTGTAGTTAAGACAATCCCAAGATTTAAATTTTTAAGTTTGTGATTAGGTCAAATTAATGGGAACCACGAATGGTTCGTTAATTATATATTGTATGCATTTTTTTTAAGTATTTGCACATCTCATTTTTTCTGGGATTATTTGGCCCTGCTCCTTCATTATAGATTACATGTTAAAGTTAGTGTTAAGATCAGTTGAAGGGTATAATAGATTATTATAAGTAAATGATAATGGTATTTGGTTTGCATATTGAATTAAACAATTCGTCAAAGTTAGATAAAAAGTTCAAAAATCGATTTTTAAGTAATTGTCCAAAGTGTTGACGACGGACGAACGGACGGACAATGGTATAACATAGTTAGTCCCGTCTTTACGCGGGCGTATACAAATGTGTTCATTCAATTGATATAGATACGGATTGTCGCATAGTAGACGAGTGACAGTTTCTAAAAGACGCTTAGTTAACGACTTTAATGCACCCTCCTAAAATACGGCTATATTATATATCATTTGAAAGCTTATTAAGGTCTTTCTCCATCTTGGATTTTGAAGTAGCAGATAACGTTGGTCTAGATCTTTGATGAAATGTGCAAATTTTGAAAGTAGTATGTAATTTATGTGTAAGACTGTTTATGTAAATATAGAAAATTGTGTGTTTTATCATAATAACGGCTGAAATTTCTCAAAATCACCATATTTATGTTGGATTAATATTTTTCAACTTTGTCAAATAAGGGGAGATAACTCAGACAAAGTCATTTTTATAATAGAAAGTGTTGTGAATTTACCTTTTTTGATATGTAGCACGAAAACAAGTTCGGTGACCCCATTTTTTCTTTTTCTTATCTAAAAGCATTTTATAAGAGCTATCTTCTCACATTTTATCTTAAAATTCTATCATGTAGTTTTCTTTTAATAACACAAAATTTGATTTTTTTAATCACACAAAATTTGATTTTCAATGCATAATCTATACAAAATCTGACAATTTGGCACAACCTGTAGCGTGAAAAAAAGTCCGGTGATCCATAATTTTTCTTACATTAAAAAAAAAAAGTTGGATAAAAACTTCATCTTGACAAATTATTAAAAAAATCTATCAATGCTAACCCACAGTTTAATATATTTGTTAAAATCTACTCAGAAAAATGCACAAACTACTAGAACTGGATGTTAGTGAAGATGGTTTACAAACGGGTTCAACTCTGCAACATCATACCAAATATATAAGATATATGTTACCAATATTTTTGTATGGGTTAGATTGATTGTTGGTTGCTTAACGACCAGTGGCAAATATTTCATGCATGTTCAGGACGAATGGGTTAGAATTTCTACCATTAACAAAATCAAATATCGAGGAACTAGATATATTTCATAATTAAAAATTGAGGCACCTGCAGGAGGGTTGTAATGGGGGTTACCTTCGTGACGAATAACAGTAAAAATTCTTGATAAATGACGTTAACGGTAATTTTTGGTGCATGACGACAAAATAATTTTTTTTGACGAATCACGTAATTTCCCCCCTCCCCCATAATAGCGGTAACGATCTCTGACGAATCACGATCAGGATATTTTGACGAATCACGACAAAATATTTACCGATTAGACACTAACGGTAGCCGAAAATTACCGTTTGACGCCTGACGGTAAAGGGCATTCCTACCCTCCTGCAGTCAACGGCAGAGAGAATACTAATGCTGCTGCCTTGTTATTATAAGAAACATTGCCAATAGAAACTGCAATAAGCGACAACTATAACTTCTGTACTCCATAATATCATGTAACAACAACAAAACTAAAGATTTTATGAATAGACAAATTGCTGAATCATAGCACCGAACATGCTTTTATTTATTATGACGTTGTTTTTTTTAATATTATCACAATTTCCGGTAATGATTTACCACATGCATTTGTCTGAGAAATTGTGTTATACACGTATATAGGTATATAAGAGAAGAAAAAAATTCTGAGACAAGCGCCTGTGGATTTGACCCCTTAACTATTGCATATTTCAAGTATGTAAAAAAGCGTGAATATCATGGAATTAACGTGAATCCATAATTTATTGTTCCACGACGACAAAGCCCTGATAATTATTGGGGTCAGACCTGTAATTCGACAGTCCTGTAGTCCAACAATCCTATAATCCGACAGTCCTATAATCCGACAGCCCGATAGTTCGACAGTCCTCATGATAATCCGACAGTCCGACGCGCGGTCACTTGTCTCTGCATGAAAAACATGTTTATGAATAAATCTTTTATCATTTTTTGGTTAGAGAATGGCTATGAATATATATTTTTCCATTGTTTCAAAATAAAGTGACATTCTGACAACAATTTTCGTGCTGAATAAATCTTAAGGAAGCTACCATATGATTTTTATTGGGGGAAGGGGTTGGCAGGGGGGCCAAGCTGAAATTTGAAAAAGGGCAGGACCGAAGTTTTGAGTAAAAAACAAAAGGCAGGATGAGCAACTTGGCAAAAAAAAAGGCAGGATGACAATTTATGTAAAAAAAGACAGGAACGAATAGAGTGCAAAGTAAAAATTAAAGGCAGGACAGAAATTACAACTAAAAAAATGCAGGTCAAAATTTTTCATCCTTGCCCCCCTTCCCCAATAGAAATCTACTAGTAGTAGCTCCCTAATCATGTTTTGCATTGGTTAGTGTATTTGTACTGCTATTAATATTTTTTTTCCTTTTTTCTTAATAAAGTGCCTTTCATTTTTGTGTTCTAAGACTAAGGTACAACTGTCCTCTCAGTGTGAGAAAGTTGTTATCAGCAGCATAATTCATAGTTATATGTCTTTTAAATTGTTGTGACAGGTTTATTACTTTTAGGGTTACACAGTATATAGAAACAAAGATAATGTTACAGTAGGTTAAGTGTATATATATTTTAATGTTTTAATATGAATCAAAAAGCAACACATGAACAAAAAAAATGTATCGATAATACCCCGATCCCCAATTTGACGGAAAAAAATATTGTGATCATGCAAATGACAAAAACAATATATTCTGAATCCAAATTCTGAAAAATATACTTTGATTGATAGCGTCGAAAAAAAAACCCCAAAAAATCAATTTCTGACTCAGACAAAAGACCATACATTTGTAACAATTTTGTTAAAATAAGCTAACAAATATTGATGCTGAATTATTCACTTGCAAGTGAATAATTCGACCTCATTGAATCCGTATTCATGTGAACTTTAATTTAACTCCTTACCTAGAGATGGATAACGCATGCATTGTGCGTGTTTTAAAAATTATTTAAAGGAAAAGAATGTCAACATTGAAAGTGAAACATAGATAAATCATTTAATTTACTGATTCAATCCACAAAAACTCATTCTTATGCAGGTAAAAACGATGATTAGCATATATTTTTAATCTATAATATAAAATTTAACAAACCTAGAAGAATCCAATAACACGAGTTCACTTTATATTTATATCTATATTTATGTTTATATCGCTTATATGACCAGAAGGTATTCGGAGGTCAACTCGATAGTTAATTAGATGGCGTCAAGACTAAAATACACGCGAAACGAAGCTACATATTATCGAGCTCATGCCCTGTAAATTGTTTATTTTAGACTTTTTATAATTTGGATAAATGTTTTACGTTGGATATAAATCAAATACATTGTATAAGAATTTGAGTCAAATAGGTGAACATGAATTTGACAGCTAGTGCCTCTTTAAGGACACAATTTCGTCATGCTTAACCATTTGATGTAGGTGATGCAATGGATGCATTGTACAAGCGCACAGTAGAAAGAACATGTGTTATCAGTACTGTATAGTAATGTTTCGCATTTGGTTACTCCTGTATCTGGCTTAAACATGTTAAAAGCATTACACGTTTCTTCAGGTATTGACTTGAAACTATAAGTAAAATAATTGTGGATACTTGAAAACTGGAAACATTTTGTTCCTTAACCTTTTTCTGGTAACATTTGAATATACATGTTTAGTTTGACTTAAACTATCATTAATTTTGTTTAAATTTGTTAATTTGATTTTGTTTTTTACAGGTGATTGTATTTCAATTACATGCATCATGGAGCGAAAGTTTTTCTTGTTGTATTATGGCCAAAGAAGGAAAAAAATATCTGTGACTGATGGAATAAATTTTAATGTCATTCACGAAAGTGTGAAAAATAAGTTTAATTTAAATGATGTACATCTTCAAGTATTCGACAGCGATGTTGGAGATTACATTGATTTAGATTCTGATGCAGACTTAAATTTTGAAGCAGAACAATTCATAGAAGTAAGAATAATAAATGCATCTAAGGGAGTTTTAAGTCCTGATTCACAAATAGTGCCAGGAGCAGCAACTTTTAATCTATCACCATTGATAAATAAATCAACAAAACCTTTAAGTGGCAGCATTTCAGGCCCATTCCTGAATGATATAAGTACCTGTTCTTCGTCACCTACATCAAGCAAAATAAACAGCCCATCTAGTCTAGAGAACAGGGGTAGTGATGTGCCCAACACAAGAAAAGAGCGGTGAGATTATTATTATTTGTTTGGTAAAATATTTACTAGTGCTTACTATGAATTGTTATAATAGTGTTACAGTAGTAATATGGCAAAGCCACAAATTAGGTCGTTTCATGCTCGTGTTTTAAAGAATATTGGGACCTAGGTAACTCAAAGTGTCGATCATTGTTCATATTACCATGAGTGTTTTAGTAACATGTAATATTTACTGAATTTAAAATATAACAAAGTGCTATCGACCAACGAAATTTTATGATTTGATGCGTGTTTTATGTGAAGAATGAATGTAAATCATGTTCTTAGACTGTTAAAATATAGATACATCTTGCTTTAATTTTGTTGTTTGATAACTGTAACGTTGTAATGTACATGGAATCATAGTTAATTCTTTTCAATTTAAAATTTAAAAGCCAATAATGGCCTATAACATTTAAAAAAAAGTAAAGCACAATAAATAACACATAGCTTATCGGGTGATGGTGCAGATTGTTATCCACCGAATAATCATTGTCAATCTTGGCTTCGACAATACTTTCTCGGGGTAACAATCTACTCTATCACTCTCTCAATAATGTTTTATATCTATAGTCTGAAATTCTCCTGCATAAGAATATCACATATCCTCCTAGGTCTAGGATTCGTTATTGATTAATCAGCAAACAAATTTAGTTGCATTGTAAGAAGTAGTAGACGTATCATTTTGAGAAATCGTTATTTAAAACTGTTAACCTCTTCTAGATCCATACAAGATAGCCATAGAAGATTAATCACAACACTAACAGAACATATAGACGATACAATAGATGAACATGAATTCAAATCATTTAGGAGTTTATTCAATCTGACTCCTAAAGATAACAAAGCTGCAAATGACATGTCATCTCTGTTGTCCATATTGGAACGGAAAGATATGATAGCACCAGGAAAATATGAGAAACTGAAAGAGGCATTATCAGGAATCAATGTTAAAATAATTAGAGACGTTATAGAACCAATTGAAGACAAAATAAGATTGGAATCCGATATCTCTACCTTTCAGGAACAAGCAGAAATTGTACCATACTCTTTTCATGGTAAGCTTCCTACCTAACTTTTAACTCATCTTGCCTTAAGGTGGTACATAACACTACAGGGAAATAACTCTGTAAAATCAGCTGAACGTTTTAATCACGTTCTATTGTTAAGAAAATATGAAGCTTCTCAATGATCAAAATTAGTGCTTGTTAAACTGCTATGTACCCAACCAATTTTTTCCAATAAAGTGTCTGGTTCAAGTTTTTTGAAATTTTGATATTTTTGTCAAAGGGTCAAAGTAAATATTTTGTCAAAATTTTATGAAAATTAAACGAGCCGAAAAAAAAGTGAAAATTACTAAGTATGCGTAACAACAGAAAAAAAAATGAATAGCCGATGTGCAAACCTTACATGGACAATTTAAGAGCAAAGAAACATCAACAAAAATATAATAGGGCTTGAACCATTAATTGTTCCCTTATAAAAATAATTGTCCTTTTGACACATTTTGGCGTTTTAGCTTTCTATTTTATTTAATACTATGACTTGTTGACAGAATCTGAATATGTGAGAAATGGTCAGCAACATATGATCTACAAATATGTGGATAACTTGATTACCAATTACAAGGATAACACATCTGGCTGGCATTCCATTATAATTAATGGTAATATAAATGTTTAATAGCATTATACATGGTTTTGCTATTTTGATCTTGTAGATATTTGCTTAAATATATACTTTACGTGATGCAGGTTCAGTCAGTCATAAGTTCACTGCTATTTTCATGGTTCAGTGACTGCGAATCGTTTTTGTCATGTGAAATAAACACTTATTATGAGTAGAAGAGATTTACGGAAAGTCTCGGTTCCGACTGTTGACTCTGACTCTGAAAGCAAAAATTACCGGGGTCGTCTCAAACAATAATTTAGCGGCGCACTTGATTCATAAGGAGTAAAAAAACGGAGCATACTATAATCGCTTCACCGACAATAACAGCACATTTTAATCGGTTAAGTCGTCAAGCTCATACACGTGTATATGAAGCCAGATACGTTATTCCTTCATCTATAATGTCATAGTTATATGTAAATGTATATACACTTATCTTTGATAGAAAATGCATTCTGTCATCTCATTCTTTCCATCAAAAAGCTTTACACATTTAGAGTTTCAATATGTTCTAACAATGCTTAGATAACATAATTGTGACAAAGATATTAAATATGTTTCCTTTATCTGAATTACAAAAAATGACTTTTTACCAGAAACACAGTCTTCCATATTGACGATTTTAATGCCGATAACACGGGGGAAATAAAGTTAATTTATACTTTAACGAATCGATTGTCATTCCCAATCTATGAAAACTAAAAACAAATCAAGCGCGCATGAACAATATTTTATATTATTTTTGGTAAATCATAACTCCAAAAGTACAAGGCAAAATGGCAATTCAATAAGCTCAATTCGATTTTCGATTGTTATTAAAACCGACGGAAAAAGTAAGATTTTGTGTTACATGACTTATTTCATTAACACATACACATTACATCTATAATAACATAATTAACGAGTTAGCAATATGGTATTATTTATGGTGGGACCGTACTTTACATCAAAGTTTGTAGACAACTATAAGCCACAGTTTCCCCACATCTGATAAGTTACGAGTGTGAACTACTGGTATTCAATTTAATCAGTGGCATAGCATTGTCAATGCATATAGCAGTAAACACCTTGTATTAAACTTTAAAATTTTCATATTAAACTCGATTGTTTTTTGTGTGTTTTTATCTCATATTTTATAACTATGGATTTACTTTTATTCAGGTCCAGAGGGTACAACTAGGAAACTTGAGTCACTCAATATAAAACACTCAGTGGCTCATTTTTGAATTTGACATCCCTTTACTCAATATTTAATACTCCTAATTTTCTATTTGTTTGATTATTGCTTGTTGAATGATTACAATGTCATTAAATTAGATATTCATAATGATTCCCAAACCATTCAAAAGAAATAATTTTAACAAAATAATATTTTTAACAGATATTTGAGATGTGCACTTTTCATTTTGTTTTCTTGTGTTTTCTAAATCCTTAAGTGAATTTATCACCCTATTTCGAAGTTTGCATTAAATTGTTAGCTGCTGCTTACCATGCTTACTATAAATGACAACAGAAAAAGACTCACATTGACGCTAAATCTCTGAAGCAAAGTATTTCTCATTGCTTCATCTAGTTTTAGATCAAAAAGTGTGTCGTTCTCCAGGAAAGTGTTCTCCAGAGACAGTACCTGCTTACACTTTGAACTCGCCAGGTCCAGATTATAAACTAAAAATTTGGTTAACAAAAGTTGCACTTGAGTTAGATGCGAATAATTTAGACGCAATGAATTTTATTCTTAAAGGTAAGTCTAATAACCTAAGGGTTTTGAAATGAACAAGAGATGTAGAGATCGTGTCGTCTTTGTGTTTGTAATTATAGGGACATATTTGTTCCCCTGTTATATCTTAAACTGGTATTGTTGAGTACTTAAAAATTTTTCATTGTTATATTTGTAACTCTGAAGTTTATCTGTTGATCAGATATACATATTTTAATTGCTAGCTAAACTTCTTCCGTAGGTTCATTTCTCTTCCGTCAGTAGGCGTGTCAGATGTCTGTATTTATAATTGAATTATCTTTCCTTTTAATGGATTTTGATGATTTTACAGATCTTATATAAATAATAATCACACAAGATGTATAAACTATGCACAAATGTTGCAGCAACTGACGATAAAATTAACCGAAGTTATGAAATGCAATATTAAAAAGGGGAATTGAATTATATAATTATGAATCACCGCTGATTCGGAATCAGAATGGAAAAATGTACAACATAAGTCTAGAAGTCGTCACACACACAATTAGAAAAAGAAGTGAACTCCACCATGCGTTGCACCTGCTTCCAATTAATTCTGATCGTGTATGTGACGACCTCTGTCCCTACCCGCATTTCTTTAACTCATGACCACGCTACAGTTTGATTTAATGATCGGCATAGTACAAAGAAAAGACCTCAACAGCTAAACAACCATGGGTGTTAGGGCTTAAAGACTTGAGACTCAATGCAGATGCGCTAGATACCCTATGGCTTAGAATGTAGGATAACACACAAAGATGGACAAGGTGAGTTTGAGAAAGCCAAAGTTACAAAGAAGTGCACTGTCTGTAGATGAAAAACGGTATGCGTAACTGGTCAAATAATATGATCACGAGTCTTGGGCACTGGATATGCATTCTTGGTTATTACAACAGCTCACTCAGACGACGATGACAACCACAACCACTAGAAGACGGCATTGATAACCTTACTCACGAGGATTCTTGAATGTAAATGAATTGGCGTCAAATAGGTGCAGTCTTTGGAAAGTTTTACGGACGCTTTCACTAATTGGTTGACCGTTTTGAAATATCTGTGTCACAAATGACCAGGCAGTCAGGAATCTACTTCGTCAAAATAATCTCCCCATTACGCCAGTCAATTTTTACCATCGTTAAATGGAAGCCATTGTAGGGATGACGCGCTGCCAATTTAGCTCTTTAAAACCGATAAATGTATCCACATAGCACCATTACAATCCTTATATGCCAGTTGTATTATAAAAGACAAATATATCTACTAGCTATTGAGCCTCGTTTAATGTACTTTTTTGCATTCAGTCAACTTAAAACTATTGTCTGACCGGTTGTCAGGAGGAATTTTCTAAAGTTAAAAAGCATTTAAAAAAATCTAATTAAATATTTCCTAGAAAGGCAGACTAAACATTTTTAGAGGTTGAAAACTAATAACCCTAGATAGCACACACAAAAAATGAAGCTTTTTCTTAAGTAATGCATTTTTAAGACCCAATTGTAAAGTCTGTCGTCAAATACTTTTAGTAAACATTTGTTATTCGAACACACCTACTCTGTTGTTATGTCTCATTAGAAAGGTATTTAACTTGACCTATATATTTCATTCTTAAGTACTGGGAATTTTTATTTTTATTGAATCAACATGTAGCTTAAATATATAAAATATGTAAAAATAAAAGAATCTGCAGCGAGATGATGTATCTTATATTTTTGCTTTAAACGTTTTTGAGACGTAACAGTCAACTCAAACACAACCGAATATAAAAAGGTGCACTCGACTTTCTCTTTTCGATGCAATTATTGGCCATTTTGGGGATCGTTTCCCAAAAAACTATCGCCGTGTCAGAACTGCAAAATAATGCTTTATCTTTCTGCTGAAAGTTTTTGGCGGAATTAATGCTTATGCACAAAAGAGATCCACTTTGAGTTGAACCTACCACAACCGACAGTTTTATGAAAATTTGTCTATGATTTAAAAGTTTACAAATATATCGAAGCTCCATACTATTATTCAAGTAAAAACACGTATATAAGATGCCAAAAATCCTAAATCATGCACTTTTATGAAACTTTTAAAGCCCATAGTAACAGATGTAAACAATTCAAATAAACCAGTTTGACTTTTTCCCCCTTCTCTAACAAAACAAAGAGTTCCATTTCTTTTGTTGGATTTCAACTGTTCCTTAGCACCTCCAATCAATCTTTTTGGTTCGATTTATGTTGCTCAGTCTAAAGTTTTATGTTGTTTTTATCGTCCTTTGATTTGTGCCAAGGGTTGTCAGATTTTTCTTCTTCCATGTACGTATTAGGTATGACACATTTTTAATGAACAGAAACTGTAAACACTAACCGTGTATATTTTTTTGCAATATATATATATACAAATGGGACAAATGGCTAAAAACGATCCGTAAATTGGAGTTATTGCCCTTTATTCAAAAGATGATTTGTAAACTCTTTATTTTCAATATTCTATTGAAAGCATTTGCTCGTTCTGAACCTGTAAAAAAAGATTAGCGAGCACTTTGAGATCTACAAATTATTTCTAATCAGTGGTGACCGTAGTAGATATTGTGATGCCTATTTAGCTTAAAGCCATTACGTATATCTTTTATTTATTCCTAACGTTGTTTTGTCACTAAAGATCAAACGTATTTAATTGCTTTGAATTTATTTGTACAAAATCGAAAACTGAATATTTAAAATATAAGAAAAACAACGTTTTTGTTAACAACATAATAAATGGATACATTTCAAAATCACACTATCATATGTGTACCTATGATTCACGCATTAAGGTGCATCCGATTTAATTGGCTTCTGTGTAGTTTTAAATTTATTTGTTATAAACAGGAGAAGATGGATCTCCAAGCTCAGTTTTAGAAAAAATTTCATCGCCATGGCAGCTGTTTGGCCATTTAATAGACAATGGTAAATTAGCACGTGATAACATTTTATTCCTGCAAGCTATGCTATATCATGCTAGGAAGATCGATTTGTATAAAAAGCTTATGGAATATGGGAAAATTTATAAGGATACTTTACATTTTTACGAACCTACTAGTAATCAAGGTGAGTATCTGTTTACTTTTTCGTACTACCAATCAAATCAAGATTGACAGCACTTCATTTGTGCAAATTATATTTTTCCTCCACTACGATTCAAACTGGAGATGTTGAGACATCAACCGAAACACTGTTGTAGTCTAGTAAAATAGACCAATTGGCAAACTCAGCAATATAATATACAAAGCTTGTGTTAGTCGACTTGTTTCCTTTTCAGTTGTATTAACATATATTATGAATATTTGAAGACTCAATTCACCATACACAGATGGTTAACATTAGATGGGAATAAAAACTCACAAGGTGAACATGGTGCAGAGGAAATGACAAAATCATAGCTAACAATGAAAGGACACAAATAAACAGCAGTGTACAATACCCTATTTAAAAGAAACTAATGTCTTAGCAATACAGACACATATACAAGATTAGTGCATGTAGTATCTCGTTTAGCTCATCATGTCGATAGGGCTATTTGATCTGCAGTTGTCACTTTTCGTCCGTCGGACTATGATATTATGTTAGCGAGATATACATCCTAATCCATTATGTACATTAAGTGATGGTGGCGTTAACATTATTGGAGGTCACCTAAATAGTTAATTAAATGGCGTATAAACTAAAATACACACGACATACTGATACATATCATCGAACCCATGCATTGTTGATTAAAGATTGTTTATAATTTAAACATTCGTTTAAGTATGTTATAATTCAATTGAATGAAAGTGGTGAACATGTGTTTAACATCTAATGCTCCTTTAAGGATGTATTAATCATCCCATGAGACATTTGAGGATGAAACGCACGTCTGACAAACACATGTTTAATTTTGTAATTATGATGAGTGTATTTACCACCATTCGGTCGATGCCAGTACTGTTGGATGTTTCTCATGTTTCTCCCCGCGAGATTCACCAGCCTAGTAGTCAACACTTCTATGCTAACATGAATTATAATTGATATGGTCACAATTCATGTAATTATTAATTACCTGTTTACTCTGAATATTTCGTAATATTAAGAATTTTCGAAACCAGCACTTGATTACCTTTGGATCTGGGGTCCACTATGCGCTTCAACTTTGTCATCATTATGCACTTATACCAGTTCATTAATACGTTTATCTTTATTTAAAAGTATATCATGAGGATAAACACGTTGTTTGTCATACAGTTTACAAATGTTCTTTGTCTATATAAATAAGAAGCCACTATGTATAAAAAGTTAACAATTTCAGGTCAAAGACTTGTCTTCAACACCGCTTAGAGCAAGCTATAAAGGGCCACAAAAGACTAATGTTAAACATTTCAAACAGAAAAAAATCAACGTTCTAATTTATAATTTATATAAAAAAGGAGAAACAAGAAACATATATGAACCACATCAACAAACGGCAACCATTGAACAACAGGCTCCTATATAAGGACAGATGCATATAAATGCAGCAAGTTATTACCATATATTGTTCTCCATTAGATTATGTATAAACCTTCGGGATCTATTATCCACAAAAAAATTACAATAAGAAATAATGTTTGATTTGCGAGCAATCTGTAAATAAGGGCAAAAATAGTATACCGTTGTTCAAAAGTCATAAATCGATTGACAAAAACAAATCCGGGTTACAAACCAGAACCGAAGGAAACGCATCAACCATAAGAGGGAAACAAAGGAACAACAGGAACTCAGACGTTCAACAAAAACAAACGTCAGCACACATAGAAAGGAACTATTTGGCAACAACTGCCATATTCCTGACTTGGTACATGACATTTTAAGATAAATGGTGATGTGAACCTGGTTATTGGCGTGCAAAACCTGCCGCTTTATGACAATGTTAAAAAAATATCGCTAAAACACTACGTGACAGAAACACAGCACAAACACTCGCAAGAACATTCATAACAGTGAAACGCACAAACAAATAATTTAATAGTAGACACAACATACAAACCACAGAACAACAACGAACATATTCTATCAACGACAAACGCCACAGGTTATCAAAAACAGTGACGCGCTTACATAACTAACATGCAATTTCGAACTATATACAATTATTTTATGTTAAAACAAATTTAAACGGATAATCATTAAAATGATTAAACTTCACGTATATTGACCAATAATATGACATTAACTTTTGTCAAAGGGGACTGGATACAAACAACTCACTATCCTTAAGTATGGATTACCGAGAGAAAATGTCCAATTTATAACCTTTCAAAATTTTAACGATAAATTTCAACGATTTCAAAATGCAAATTTAGTACAAGAAGTTCTTGTGAAAGAGAAGCATCGACCAAAGCAATAAACCAAAGATCAGAAATAAAGATATAATTCATTCTGAATTGAAATATATATATATTCACTGATTTGTACAAATATGTAAAACAACATATAGGGACAATAATGCAAATACAGTACAAAGTATCCAGATGCTACACACAAGAAAGACATTATTTGAAAATGTAAAATATATCGGGTAACAAAAAAAAATGAAATTAATGCCATGAGCAATTTCCATATGAAATCGGGTCCATGTCTAGAAATACAATTCGGTAATTAGTTTCGGACGTAACAACAACTATTTCATCTTGTTACTTTATGTGAGTGCAATGGTCCCCAGTGCCTGTGTATTATGTGTATGTACTTTTTCGTGTACAATTTAATCAAACAATTTTACAACTTAGATTTTCTACTTGTGTTTTGTGACGTTTTTTCATCAGGATAATTAACTAATAAACAATGGATATTACGTATTTGTTTCAGAAAACAGAGATGTAAAATTTCACGTTTCTTGCAAAAAAGAAACATGTGAACAAAATTTGAAAAACATAAGGATGATAGCTGCAAAATACATGGGTGTTGATATACATTCGGTTTCAATTACGAGGTTGCGAGGTCACAAATAGCTTTTTGGTTACATTATTTGTTCCTGAAGTATGAGTAGATTTCCTATTGAAATATGATTCTACTGGACAGCTGTCATTTCTGTGCCCTGTAATAGAATTTTCATGGTGGACGACAAGATATTTTAATGGAAGAAAGTATGTTTTTTAATATAGTGGCCAAATAGATGAAGCATGAATTGTTTTAATATAGCTGACGTGTTTTTCAATTGCATTTAGTAAGATTCTGAAATATGAAATAGTTTGTGATACATAAGAATCATTTATAGATTCTATTAGTGGCCACAAGTTTCAGTTACGGTTATCTTTTTTTTTCTCACTCATCATGCATTCAAGATTGACTAGTACAATTTATTACAAAGTGTTTACATGTAAATTAATATACACATTTAAGTGCAGGATGTGATTACACATGTTACAGTTGATAAACTGAAAACACATGTTACTGGAGTTTCATCCCATGGACAAAACAACATGTTCACCTTTCTTGTCTGACAATGACTATCTATGATGATTCTTAGCAAGACTTAACAAACTATGGTAAGTAATATTAAGTACTAAAGGAGGCTTGAGGGTACAAAATTTTCAACTAAAATTTTAAAGCTTTTTTTTTTTTTTTTTATTACAAATTTTCTTTATTACACTATTTGTTGTTACTTTATGAAAGTCAACCCTAAAAATCGATTCGTTTTGGCCCTAGATGACTTTTAAAATGTTTATATCATTTAAAAAGCTCCGAATTATCTCCCTTTGGTGCAACAATGCATTTATTTTGGCATTAAGATTGAAATATCTTTTTTTAACTCATCGGTGACCTATATTTTTTTTTTCAAATTATCTGTTCTTAAAACTAAACAATTGTAAGATTTAAGCGATTTCTGTAATTTAGTTCTTTTTTTATTTCGATATTACCTCTATTTCTCCTATTAGTTCATTAAGTACCTTAACGAAAATGCATGCTTCTTTCGAAAGCAGATTGTGAGCTTAAATGAACGGTGACCCCATTTTTTTATTTTATTTTTCTATTAAGTATATGATAAAGTTCAATTATAGAAAAACGTAGCGAAATCCTATATTTAAAAAAAAATTGATTGATACCCTCGAGCCCACTTAACAATTTAAAAAAAAAATATTGATTTAGAGCAAGTTGTTTCAACAAAACCGATCGCGCGCGCGCGAGGATATAAATAGTCTTTGATATTCTTTTTATGTCTCAGCATGTTTAGGAAATATGTTATTTCAATCCAAACTAACAATTAAAGCAATAAAAAAAGAGTAGATATGATACCGTATCCCAAAGTAAACACTGAGAAAAATATTATTTCAAGACACGACCAAATTTCTTAAAATCTTCAGTACTCGTGAAATTTTTGTACAAAAGTTAACGTTGAAATTATGTTTTTAAGTTAACTGAAGAATAAGTTGTGATTTTGCGAGAAGATAAAGTATTAAGTCTATAAATGTAATCGCATTTTCGTTTTTGATATAACTTTTATATCTGGAAGACTATTAATTGAACCAACTAGATTTATTAGCCAATGAAGTGTCCTACAGCACGATGAACATAGATTGAAACAATTTAGCATAATTTAGTTCCTTCAAGCATTAAAGCTTCGCGTATTATAATAGCCAAATATTGTAACGAACAACAATGAAATAGTTTTGATTTCTTTTTAAGTGGATTAAGCATTCATGCGAGTTGGACATTTACACGTGGATGCTGCTTTCAGGTGAATAGATGAAACTCTACAAAGGAGTAATGCTGAAACTATTCCTCGTCTTGAAGTATTGTTCCCAAACATAAAGGATTTTGACGTAATTTACGACATACGTTCATAGATTATATGAATACATTATGATATTGAGAACCATGCTAAACCTCTGCATTATAAGTCTATCCGGGATTTAGCAACGAGTATTTGGAAAATACAAAGCAATACAAAGCTTTTTGGGATGGCGAAAAAGATAACAGACCATGGTACAATTAAAATAATTTTAAGGAAGGCCCATTTAACAAAGACAATGCTTAGTTCTAGAAGATCTACATAAAGATCTACATAAATAAACTAAAATCGAGATTACCATAGTTGTGATGTCTATTCGATTATCAAATTGAACATACGTCAAAACAGTGTAAGGGCGGATTTCTCGCACACCTAGAATAACATAGAGACAGTTTCCACTCAGATGGATAAAAGTTATTCTAAAGACAAAATGAAATATTTCGTTGTTGCCAAACAGCAATCAGAAACAAGGGACCTCCGGTGATCAAGACATTTCATCACAGTTATGGAGATTATTCGAAAATAGGAAGAGGAATGTTCTGTAAGTTAAAATATTAAGATTAAGAATGTTTCATTTTAGGATAAAACAATTTAATAACATGGCACAGATAAGAAACAATTATCCTTGAATAATATACTACAATGATATTTCAAAGGGTTACAATTTTGTTGTACATGTTGTATCTGCATATATGCTAGTATACACTTTCAAAATATGAACCTATGGTTTTTATGACCTATTCCCGAATATGACTGTTTTGCTGAGTGTGAATTTGCATTGCTATAAGACGTGCCTACCCTTTATCACACCCCTACTCGGAAATATGAAAATAGCGAAAAAATTAGAGAAATATTTTTCTTCAATGGGACCAAAATGAAACGGTCATTACGGCATTTTTGGAATGACGTCATTGTTTGACATGTGACGTCACAGACGTCGAGTTTTCCTATTTTCTGGCACAAGAAATGAAATCATAAAAAAACTACGGGCAGCAAGAGGGTTAAACTTTAAATTTTGATATTTCAAAAGTGTACACTTTACTTATTAGTCTCAAATTCGTCTTTTGTTTAATACAGTATACTTGTTATTAAATTGTTAGTTTATTGTAACTATTTTTTTTTATTAATAGGTTTTATTCAGAATGTGTTGTACATAGTATAACATTACTAAAGTAGGACAAAAAGAACTCAATGAAAACAAAACACAAATAAACAACAACAAAAAATTAAAAAAACAAAATATTTCTATGGACTACAGGACGCAAATTGTAGGTTAACTCTGATGCTTCTGATGAATAATTAAGCAGTTCCTATATATGATAAAGCTGTTAAAACAAGGCAAAACTAAATCTGAAGGTTACCCAGATGCTTTGGATCAGTAAGCAATTCCTATATACTCTTCTATTCAAATATATGATAAAGCGTATAAAACATGGCAAAATCCGTATCACATGCCGTATCACCCTCGACCAATATCAACCCTCGGTCCTAAGGGCCCTCGGGCTGATATTGGTATCTCGGGATGATACGGCATATGATACGGATTTTGCCATGTATTATTCTCTATATATCAGATATTGTTAAATGTCTTATCGTTTGTAGTTGTAGTTCTACCTTTTGTTATTTTCTATTCGTATGTAAAGGTGAAGATAATTGATCACCCGGTTCATTTCTAAGATTTAAGTTTAAAGCGACTATATGTACACTATTTCTTTGTTTTACAGTTTGATTTAGAAAAATACCGACATAGCTAGATAATACTATTGATTATCTCATTACTAACACAATTCTATATTAATATTCTTGTAATTGTTATAAAATACATCAAATGACATAGTTACAAAACTGATTTTGAACAGTATTCAACATTTTTAGAAATTTACCTGTGACGACACTTTTGTGGCGTTGACCCAGTCGTGTGAAAGACAGTTCGTGGTTCTGTTGTGCTGTTTTGTGTGCTGTCCTATGTTGTTTTACGTGTTCGTTTTTATTCTGTGGTTAGCTGATTGTATGGTCATTTTTCTATATTTCCTGTTCACAAAAGTATGATTCTTTCGAAATACTGAGGATTTTCTTATCCCAGGCATAGATTACTTTAGCCGTATTTGGCACAACTTTTTGGAATTTTGGGTCCTCAATGCTCTTCAATTTTGTACATGTTTGGCTTTATAACTATTTTGATCTGAGCGTTACTGATGAGTATTATGTAGACGAAACGCGCGTCTGGCGTATTAAATTATAAGCCCGGTACCTTTGATAACTATTAGCATGTCGAAATGTACTATTGTATTGTTTATTTCCCTGTCCTCAAAGTTATTGCATTTATTTGTACTGTATTCCTGTCATGTAATGGTGTCATTTTAGAGTTATATTTAACATTGCCATACAATTGCGAGGTTTGGCTAGCCACAAAACCAGGTTCAACCCACCATTTTTCTCTTAAAATGTCCTGTACCAAGTCCGGAAAATGGCAATTGTTATCTTATAGTTCGTTTCTGTGTGTGTTGCATTGTCGTTTGTTTTTCTGTGTTTCTGTTGTTTCGTTGTTTTCCTCTTATAGCTGATGTGTTTCCCTCGGGTTTAATTTGTAATCCGGATTTGTTTTTGTCTCAATCGATTTATGACTTTCGAACAGCGGTATACCATTGTTGCTTTTATTTGGCTAAAAGTCTCTTTTTATTCCTATTGCGTAGACGACTGACAACAATAGATGATTTTTGTTGTACAATCTATTTTTTTTAAGGTTCCTAATTTCTCTTCTCACTAAGAAACCTATCTAATCACTTTCATTTTATTGAATTTAAAAAGACATAAGCCAACCACCGGAAACTAAACTTAAAGTCAGTGTGCTAAGTTTGGTTTCTATCAAAAGAAAAAGATAGGACATGGTTTATTAGTTTAGGACTAAAAACCGTGCATGAAAGCCAAAAATAGAAGGAACAGCACTTTCTTTGTAGTTTCTCATCTGAAAGTGACAGTGGCCCTTTTACATAAAGAACAAAACCTACTCACCTCACCACTACCTCAGAACGGTTCATTTACATTGTAACACTTGTTTAAACTCATTGAAGTATTTCTAAGCATGCTTATTCTGAGTTTTACCTATTCAAAGACATTCAAAGACATGAATTATGATATCACGTATTTAAAAATCTACACTATAATGTATTGATAAACGTTACCTGTTAAACCATATTTTGCATATATGATCTCATTTGTTTTAGTTGCAAGTGTAACCAAACAATCACAAAAGGACACAAAAAGGGAAATGAAAAGACCCAGAAGGTATGAAATTCTCCAAATTTGCTTTTTTCTAAATTTTGGAAATCATGTTAAGATAAGAACAGGAATTTGCATGTTAAATATGCTCTTCATATATTTATTTCATTAAAAACTGATTTATCACAATAAAAAAAGTCATATTTAGCAATACATTTTCTGTAAAATAGTAATGTTGTTTTTAATAGTCGACTGATTATATGAGTTATTGTCCTTTACAGAAGAATTTTGACAGTTTTCAATTTTGCTTATTATCATGAAAACAATAATAAATAGATAGAGGACCCCTGTTTTTTCATGGACATTCGAATGAATTGCATGCGAAGGTAATGTTCCAATTTTATTTAAATAAATCATCAACTCGTGAAAAATTAAACAGATATGGTTTAGTTTGAAAGAATGGTTACACAGAAATATAGTTACTTATGTTAGGAATATACACCAATTATTTTATAGAAAACAAATAACGACATTTGACACAATATCAGCTATATTTGATTTACTGAATCTCTAAATGTAGAAGATTAAAATATATTATTTTACTACTTATTTTAACAGATTACCTGAAAAATATCTTGTATTGATAACATTTGATGCGACTGTCATACAAGTGAGAGGTTTAGCGTTATAAAACCAGGTTCAATCCACCATTTTTTGCATTTGAAAATGCCTATACCAAGTCAGAAATATGACAGTTGTTGTCCATTCGTTTGATGTGTTTTATCATTTGGTTTTGCTATTTGATTAGGGACTTTCCGTTTTGAATTTTCCTCGGAGTTCAGTATTTTTTGTGATTTTAATTATTTGTATACAAATTTTCCTAAAAAAAATCACTGTGGTATTAAAACAGGAACAAGAGTGAAAGTACTCCATGAAATCACTTTTAGATTAAGAACATCAATTTTAGCAACAATTGAAGAATGGCTTCACAGTTAATGTAAGACTACCTGCACTTAGGGTGGCATCGATCCGATACGGTTGCTAAAACAAGTCAATGGTCTGTTGCAGTACATATAATGTAAATCTTTTTCCTCTTGCAATAGTGTGAAAAATGACGAATCTACTGACTGACAGAACTTTGAGATGTATATCATTTTGTAGGACATAGTTCATATATTGGCTGTTACAGAAAGGAAAAGAAATATTACATTTTTTTTGTATCAGGTTTTACTGTAATTAATAATTATTAAAACATTTTTGTTATCATATATCACATTATTACATCTTGTTTATGTTTTATATTTTCTCATCTTAAATTATGCACCCTTTTCAAAAGTAAAGACCATTTAAGTTGTCTAAACACAAAGATTTCTGATGAAATTTCACATATTCGTCTTTCTCAACTGACTTTCCATAGCTTAATTTGTACAAAAGATTTTTTTAAGAATCAGGAAAGGTGCATTAAGGGATGCATGAAAATAAAAAGGATGATTCATAATTTGTTTTTTACAGAAACTATGGGAGACATAATGAAATTAACGATAGCAATGAAAGATCTACAATTATTTCAACATGACCGAGACTGAGTTCGCCATTAAACTGCTATAGGAACTATTGTCATTGAATGACGGATTTTTACCAATGCTAAAACCAATGTTCAATCCCCTGATATTTAACTATATCATAACGTAACCTATTTAGTCATGGATAATAACACTGCGATGATAAAGATATCAAATTTCATTTTAATTTTCACATAACGAATAAAGAATGCATTCAATTTTTCAGTACCGTTAAGGCAAGCACTTGATGAAACAAAAGCATAAAAAAATATATAGTGTACACATGTACCATGTTTTTTTTTCTTCAAATAATTGCATCAATTGAATTAAAAAATACAATGAGGTATATGTTTATTATGTGCGTTGTGGTCATGTATATATGCATGATATGACTGATTTAACAAAAAAATCATGAAACAAAACAATTAGGATTACAATATAATATAGTATCTTTTACACTTATATTCCAATGTTTAAATATAAGATCCGTGTAACTATAGTTTGTTCACGGCGAAATTGTTTATATGTTTAACTGATCAGTTCCTACACATTAGGTGAAACGTAAACAGTAATGATTTTACCACAGTATTTCTACAACTACAAAGTAGAGATAGTTTTTGATAGATGCAAATTGTATTGCTCAGACTTTAATAAAACCAACGTTTAAGATCACCAAAACCAAAAAAGAAACTCATATTGTTGTGACTTATTTGTAGATTATATACATGTAGGAATGGGTGTATATCATGATTAGTTTTTGATGGATGCAAATTGATGGTATTATACAGAATTAGTAACCTCCAGTACTTAAACCGTTAACCTCTATTTTTGTCTGGAGTAATCTTCCAGCCATATCTGTTTTTATCTGCAGGGACACGCATAACATTTTACATGTTTATCAATAGTGTTGTTTAATGCAAAAAGCATTTATTTTTGTTACATAAAGAAACAAAGATGATAATAAAAATTCGTTTGATAAGAAGTTTTCTTTTGTTTGAACCCATCGGCAGTGTCTTGTATATCTATTCATATAAAGTGTGATATGTAAAGACTTGTTATATATTTACTATATGGGCTTTTTATAAATGTGTGCAACTGTTTATATGTAATTGTTATTTAATTATCATTGTGAATTTTTGATTATTTAAAAAAGGTATTGGATTTTGTTTTTAATTATGTTATGATGAGGATCAACTGAAATTTGTCAAGTGGAGACATATATCTTTATCTGTCTGTTTGAACCTAAAACTTTGGTCTCAGTATACCTCCTCCATATAGAAATACCCTTGTTCATACAATATCTCAGTTTAGTTCAATTCTCGATAGCGTCCACAATCGAAAGGCACTGAATTAGGCATAGCATTGACCATTGGAAAATTTTAAGGTGTACAACAAGTTTCAGTTTAATTGGTTAGGATACATTGACCTTTATGTTCCATTTGAAGGATCTGGTTATGTTTGTGAGTTACGTGCATACCACAAACACTATACAAGAACTTTTAAAAGCATGTATAAAAGTTTGTGTTCAATTACTTAATAAAAGATGGATAAAATGAGCTGAAATTTGGTACGTACTCAGTGCGTACCTACAAATGTGTGCTCAGTATACCTTTATACAGAAATATCCTGTTCATACATGTTTTTGGTTAAGTTTTTCAATTTTGCTTCCTCTTTTAGGCACTACAAAAGACATATCAATGACACGAGAGAAATATATACACAGAGATTGCAATTGGCAACTGTAACAGTGGTCAGCGAAATCTAATTGAAAACACGCATCCTACGATGAGACTTTAACGAGAGCGTTGATAGCCATTTTGTAACATCAACGAAAGTTCGCAACTGCCACTCGATAGTAATTTTACATGAAGCATTTCAAAACAGCATAATGTAAGTATATATTATTTACTTTCTTTTATTCAGTTTATAGTAATTATAAGTTGCAATTTTCAGTTGAAAAACAGTTTTATAGCTGTCAGCCATGTTGATTTTGTTTATATATACTGTCCCTGGTTCCAGTTTATAAACTTGTCCATCATCAGAGAATTATTGTACCTATCACATAAATTAATTTCCCATGACATTCTGGTTTTGTGTATATAAGTTGGTTTATTTTCATTATTTCACCCACTTTAATGCAATATATAATTAAAAATCAGTATTTATTTATTTATTTTTCTGTCGACCAGGTTGATTTTTTTCATATATAAAGACATACCCCTGTCCCTAGTTTTGGTTTATCAACTTGTCCATCTTCAAGTTTTTTTTAATTATTTCACCCACTTTGATGAAATTTACAATTTTATATATATCTACATTCAGTATCTGACAGCATTTATTTTTTTTGAACAGGATCCTGTTTTAAATAAACAAAGTTTTTGATCAAATTTGCCTAACAGTGCAGCATACAAGAGATGTAGTAACAAGTGATGAATGCAGGATTCCCAATTCTTTCTGTTTGAAAATAAGACTCACTGGCAGACAGAAATAACTTTTAGTGATTACTTTTTCCAATTATGACAACACAGTCATGACAGTCATGTAGTGGACCGATTACTACTCCTATCAATATGATACTTAAAAAAGGTTTTGTAAGATAGAAGATATCAGGTGCTCATCCTGACTGTGAAAACACCATATTATTGTAGTTCATATGCTAAACTTGATTTACACGTGTATGCAATTTTTGTGTAATTGACATCATTGAACTAAAAACAAATACAAGACTCTCATTCAATCTATTGAATTTGAAGCGGAAGTGGAACAGGGGCAGTTGTGCAGAGACTATACAGGATAAAAATGCAAATAAAAATCTTGTGTTCAACTTCATTTGTCTTCTTTACGTTTACAAATTTAAAGTATACATAGTTTTTACATACATGTACAAAATGTATAACAATATGATGATGTAGTATGATTGCCAATGAAACAATGGTGTCCATGTATTACTATCATTGGAACACCACTCTATAATATCTTTGTACATCATGGAAAATGCTACCTTTGTATCATAAAGGTAGCATAATGTAAAAAAAAAAGAGAAAACGTTCATGTATGCCACAACACCCCTGTGAATATAAAACTTGACAGTGCTAAATAGCAAAATATTTCGTTTCACAAATTCCTTTCTCTCTATGGAAAGTAACATATTCAATTGTTTTCATTAAATGACAAAAGGTGTTGAATAAGAAGCAAGAAATGTTCACTCTACTTGTACACTAGTCGTTATGGGCTCATATTGGTAATCATCTATGTTTGTTTCAGTCCTTTAACAATGGTGCTTGTTTGTGTTTATATGTTGTGTTGTTTCAGTTGTACATGTCCTCATGCTGTGATCACTATAATATCACCTCTCCTGTTTTGAAAAATGTGTATGCAAATATTTTCTGCAATAAATTTGAAAGGCACAGAAGCTATGACAAAAATGAAATATGAGGTTTATGTCAATGAGACAACAACCTAACGAAAGCAATATTCTATGTATGTTTCAGATTTCTTGTGGAGGTCAAATGCACATAATGTGTACTTATATATATATCAGCGACCTGGTGCATGTATGTACCTATTGATGCATATTCCGTCCTAAAAATAAGTTGTGTGAAGAGACCAAGCAGTTTATATGCTTATAAAAAACTGATATTAAAATGAATTCCTGTATAATAAATTTAGGGAATGAGACACTATCTTATTAAAACCAGATGATATATTAGTGGTAAAGGTTTAAACAGAAGCAGGAGATGTAAAAGGGCAATACAAAAAGTACAAGGTTGTGTAACACAGAGGAAAAAATAACAAATGAAAGAAAATAACAGCCCACATAGCACTGCACCGAAAATCACCTTGAACAGCATAAACCCACAAAAGACCAGATAAAACTTGTGCACAATTCGAAACAGATATAAAATCAGTTTCCCACGAGACAAAATCGGACAGTTGTCAAAGTTCTGTCACAAGCCACCACAAGATGTAGCATTAATGCTGAATGCTGAATGTTTCCAGCTGAATTGTGATGGTTTTGTCTTGTACTGCAATCTTATGTTTAAATGTAATACTCTAATTATATATGTAATATATTAACATACTACTTCAATTGTGGGATAAATATACCGTTTTTTTCACATCAAAGCTCACTGGCTACCTGAACTTTGAATACACCAAGCCAGGTACTTCATATCAGAGAAACAGCCCATATGTGTCCTTAATTTTAGAATTATTTCATGATGTGTTTATTATTCAAATTGATAAGAAAAATTGTGTTCTACAAGGATCCACAGTCCTTCACCTTTCATTTGATACCTAAAAATGCCAAAATATATATTCTACATCGCCTGGCTAAGAGTAAAACTAGAAAAACCATTGATAATTAAAAACTGATAGACCGTCATGATCATGGCTAAGAGTAAAAATAGTTAAACTGACTTTAAACATCAAATTATAATTTAACTTTTACGTTTATGGCAAATATAATATATTAATGTAAAACATATTTTAACATTTTATAACATGTGACATTGAAAAGGAAATTACTTCCAAATTCCTTGATATCAATAAAACTAATGTCTTAAATTATAATGCTCGGACATTGTTTGAAAATCACATTCACTACACTTAGGTAATCAAACTTTCCCTGTTGATATATAAATATAGTATCATTATTGTTCGCCATGATGATACACCATTACGATAAAAAAATATAAGGGTTTGGTAGATTCTACTACATCATGAACATAACGTTTGTTGTCATACGAAGAATCTGTCCGACTTTCGAAAGTCGCCATGATAGAAGGTTCTGAATATGGCTGATATATATTTGTCTTGTTAACTTCATTAGTGTCTTTTCTAATAAATTGGTATCCATCTTTTTCCAAGACAGTTGATGCCATTGGCGACTGGTAAAAGGAAGTCAAATCTTTGGAATATATACCAGTTCTGTTCTCTTCAAATGCTGGGCCCCAATTTGCCTTCGGATGACAAAGCTGCCAACATAATTCAATGACATTTTTTCAAATTGCATAGAGTAACAGAACGCATTTATTAACTTTAGCATGTACTTTATTACTTAATATAGGTAATCGATGACCACTTGTAGTGGTCATCACCCCGGACACTTTTCTACTATGATGTAATTTCAGTTAAGTGTTTTGTGGACTGTTGTTGATCTTTTCGTCGTTTTTGCCATGATATATTTTAAATTTACATGTTTGTTTCAAACAAGAACAGTTGAATTGTATCTCGGAATATATTAATTATGTAATAACTATACATTCGTGTATATGTAGATTTTCCTGAATTCTTATGAAATTTGATAAGTCTAAGAGATGTTGCAAAAGAGGGACGAACGATACCAGAGGGACAGTCAACCTCATATTGGAAATTGCTCTGCCTAACTCAACCTTATATAAGTTTTTTGATACTGATTTGTGTAAATGGTGCCTTATGATTTATATATTGAACTCAATTATTCTCTTGTAGGTACTTTTACTTTATAAATGTTACTATATAAAAGCAAAACATACGTACATTTCTTTTATTTCTGCATGCACAGTAATAAAATATCCATGCCGGAATGAATACGATAGGAAAGGCAACAATCAACCAGCTCAGAGCTGTTGCCCAATCAGGATACACATAATCGTCTAATGTGTAATACTTTCAATACTATCACAACCTAGAAGAATAAACAACATCCATGTTGGAACGAATACAAATTTAATAGAGAAGGCAACAATTAACCAGCTCAGAGCTGTTAACCAGATTTACTGTGGTAATTGCTGTGTGTTTGTTTTTCCTACATTAGCTAAAGGTATAGGGGGAGGGTTGACATCTCACAAAACATGTTTAACCGCGCCGAATTTTTGCGCCTGTCCCAAGTCAGTAGCCTCTGGCCTTTGTTGGTCTTGTATGATTTTTAATTTCAGTTTTTTTTTTTATATTTCTGAGTTTAGTATGACGTCCATTATCAATAAACTAGTACACATTTTTGTTTAGGAGCTAGCTCCATGTGCGGGATTCTTGCTGCGTTGAAGACCCATTGGTGGCCTTTGGCTGTTTTCTGTTCTTTGGTCGATTTGTTGTCTCTTTGACACATTCCTCATTTCCATTCTCAATTTTATGATACACATAGTACGGCGTCCATCCATTGTAATCATTCAGTACAGTCCCAATCTAGAAAAGTGTCATCAATGTCCAGTTGATTTGACAAAGTTATGTTTAAATAAAGAACCTTAGTGAGCACGCTCACATATCCCACTTCCACACATTGTCATTGGAGAAATTAAATAAGTGTAACAAAAAAAAATTGTATAAGAAAAAATATTGAATAATAATTTCCTGTCAATATGCACATCTACATAGTATGTCCTTCTTATCTACAAAATTTCATGAAACTCTGTTGTGTGGTTTCAGAAGAGTGGAGATGACAAACTGTTGCAGAAGTACATTGAAGCAAATAAGTTCAAAGGGGCGTAACTCCTAGAAAAAAAATGAATCGTAATTTCCTGTCGATATGCACATCTACGTAGAATGTTCTTATTATCTACAAAGTTTCATGAAATTCTGTTGTGTGGTTTCAGAGGAGTTGAGATGACAAACTGTTGAAGTTGTACCTTAAAGCAAATAAGTTCAAAGGGGTGTAACTCTTAGAAAAAAAATTGAATCGTAATTTCCTGTCGACATGCACATCTACATAGTATGTCCTTATTATCTTAAAAGGTTTCATGAAATTCTGTTGTGTAGTTTCAGAGGAGTTGCGATGACAAACTGTTGCAGTACATTAAAGTAAATAAGTTCAAAGGGGCGTAACTCCTAGAAAAAAAATTGAATCGTAATTTCCTGTCTATATGCACATCTACATAGTATGTCCTTATTATCTAAAAAGGTTTCATGAAATTCTGTTGTGTGGTTTCAGAGGAGTTGCGATGACAAACTGCTGCAGTAATAAATTGAAGCAAATAAGTTCAAAGGGGCGTCACTCCTAGAAAAAAATTTGAATCGTAATTTCCTGTCGATATGCACAACTACATAATATGTCCTTTTTATCTAAAAAGGTTTCGTGAAATTCTGTTGTGTGGTTTGAGAGGAGTTGCGATGACAAAATAAAGGACTGACGGACAGACGGACTGACGGACGGACGGGTCAAAAACATTATACCCTCCACAACTCGTTGCGTGGGGTATAATAACCGTCCAGATCAGCTAAAACTTGGCTAAATACAAATGAAGTTTTAACAGCTTGAACATGTGTAGAATACAGTACATTAGTTGTTTCGAATATAAAGCAAGAGGCTTCAAAGAGCCTCAATCGCTCACCTGTAATTTTTTGCTTTAATCTTTCATCAATGATTTTTTAAAAGGTCAAGTGAGCTTTTCTCATCACTTGGCGTCCGTCGTCCGTCGTCCGTCGTCTGTCGTCATTCGTCAACTTTTACAAAAATCTTCTCCTCTGAAACTACTGGGCCAAATTTAACCAAACTTGGCCACAATTATCATTGGGTTATCTAGTTTTAAAAATATGTCTGATGACCTGGCCACCCAACCAAGATGGCTGCCATGGCTAAAAATAGAACATAGCGGTAAAATGTACATTTTGGCTTATGTCTTCAATATCAAAGCATTTACAGCAAATCCGACAAAGGGTATAATGTTTATCAGGTCAAGATCTATCTGCCCTGAAATTTTTAGACAAATCGGACAACCAGTTGTTGGGTTGCTGCCCCTAAATTGGCAATTTTAAGGAATTTTTGCAGTTTTTGGTTATTATCTTGAATATTATTATAGATAGTGATAAACT